CAATCTCTTCTTGCGGACACTGTCTTTATAAGAGAAGTTTATGGAAGCAATAACTGTATCAGTGATGCTACAATTCTACGTCTGACAGTCCCAGCGCTCATCTGAGCTACAGTTTTGAAGTACAGAGATTGCAAACTAACTGACGTGACGAAGTTGAACAAGTAGAGAGAAGTCAGATTACGGATGAACAATAATGAGATGATAGCGTAGTAAACAGCAGTCGATGATGTGTGATGAAGAAACAAAATCCAGTCCGACTGTGAAGTTAAACCAAAAGCCTCAAATGGTGTTAAGGAGCCTTTTTATAGTCTGTTAAAATTCTCATTTCACCTGGGGCACCAGACAACATGAAGCTTTTGTAACTCTAAAATCACTATTGTTAAAGGAACTCATACTAATCTACCCTAATTATGACAAACCCTTTCACATATTCACTGACTGTTCATCTGTCGCCCAAGCCGAAGCATTACTCCAGCTTGTTGATGGCAGTAACACTCAGTACCGCTCGATATCGTTCTGTAGTCGCACATTCACTGAAAGTGAGCGAAGATGGCCAGTCATACAGGCTGAACTAGCGACCATCGTTTTCGCTCTTCGCACATTTAAGCCATATTTCCTTATGTCAGAATGCACCGTTCACACTGATCATAAACCGCTAACTCATATTCTCAAGAAACCCTCTGCACACCCTAACCTCGCACGATGGATCTTGGAACTCCAGAGTTACAACATCAAACTTGAATACATCAAGGGGGATAGGAACAAAGTCGCTGATGCATTACCCCGCGCCGACGAAGATGCTGAACCAGCCAATCGACAGGAAATGAAGGATATAATTGATTTCCCACATTGCCTTTTATCATACTGCACGTGTTTTGGGTTTTGATCAGGGTACACAGACATTATTGCGCAATATCGCAGGCACATACCAAACCGTTGATCTTAAAACAGAACAAGCAAAGGATAGGGAATTTAAAGCCCCTCATTACCTATCTTAAAACCGGAAATGCTCCCTCCTTTAAAGATAGCCAACAAGCTGCAATCTTCCTTTCCAAGGCTGAGCGCTAATTATACCTACATCCAAGCACTAATAAAGTTGTTAAGTGCTTACTGGACAAAGTAGGGATAATCAAGGACATTGTCAAGAGGTAATGAAAACACACTACCCAAATCAACAAGGACATTGTAAAGAGTTAATGAAAGCACACTACCCCAATAAACAAGAGCCCTTGAGAGTAGTACATAGGGACAAAGAAGTCGAAAAAGAAATACCAATGAGGCACAAGAACAGTGGAGCTGGACTAGCGGTGTCTTACATTGCAATGCAGTCAAAAAGAATACAATGTGCAATCATGGTTTTTTTATATATTCGATTGGTATTCATATTTTCCGTTTAAGGGCCAAAAATATCAAATTGCAAGCATCAGGTATTGAGAACGAAGCCAAAGACAACCTCATAAAATATAAATTTTATTTGCGAATATAGATGGTTAACGAGAATTCTACCCTAAATTGCGAATTTAGGAACCGGACTCTATACTTCTCTCGAAGGACTGGACTTCCAACTCACAGAAGGAGCACTTCGAACGAGTTGTAGCGACAGCAGCCGCTGTTGTATTCCGAAAGAATTTGGCCTTAGGGTAGAAGGAGAGAAGCGCTACAAAACAGCAACTGTTGATCGCTTAAGAGCACATTGGTCCGCTCAAAGTTTTTCCCAAAGTTCATGAAATTGTGCGCTCGTCGAACTGTGGGAAAGATTTCGACAAGATGCCACCTGTAATTTTGAGAAACGGAAAGAGTGCTGAACTTCGTAGCAATTTTGAGAAGCGAATCGCAGAAATATTGAACTGCAATACAGAGAAAGGGGGATAACATTGAATTTTGAAACAATGAGAAACAGCAGGGATATTGATCCGCAGCGTAGAGAAAGGAAAATTGTATTGACTTGTGAAGAAATGGGAAACCGCAGGGCTGTTCATTCAGAATTCAGAGAAAGGGGAAGGAAAGTGAATTCTGAAGCTGTGAGGACTCGCAGGGCCGTTGATTCAGAATTCAAAGTAAGGGAAAGGGAAGTGAATTCTGAAGCTAATACGACTCGCAGGACTGTTGATTCAGAATTCAGAGAAAGACAAGTGAATTCTGAAGCTATGAAGACTCGCAGGGCTGTTGATTCAGAATTCAAAATAAGGGAAAAGGAAGTGAATTCTGAAGCTATGAGGACTTGCAGGGCTGTTGATTCAG